TGGGTCAGTAAAGGCAGATGGGAAAATGTACATTCCCGAGAGAGACGACATATGGCACTTTAGAGTAAAAGCCTCTGGTGAGGGCACAGGGCTCTGAGTGTGCCCTTGGGCAGAGAGCAGGGCTGATTTATTTATTTATTTTTCTCCTTTATTGGGTGCAGTGTCTGTCTGTATGTGTGTGTGGTGTATGTGTGTGTGTCGGGGTCGGGGGTTATATTTATTATGGGAGTGAGTGATGAGTGCCTTTACCTGGCACAAGGCACTGTGTGATCTGGATTCTTCTAAACTCAAATCCCAAATTTCTAAAGAATGTGGTGGCACCTTCAGAGAGTGATCTGCTTTCTAGCCACTGCCTTGTGGAAAGCAAGATAATAATGGAGTACAGATTCCAGGCACTGGACAAATTGGTGACGAAGTCACCATCCTCTCTTCTTAGCCATGAGTGAAGTCTGAAAGGAAAATTGATTTCTTCTATCAATGGCTTTTGGGCCTGTCCTCCTTAGATTAGGAAATTTTGGTAAAATCCTACTGGATCTCACTGTCTAATAGCAATCTGTACTTCATTGCTCAAGGCTCAAGACAGTGGTGGAAAAATGACAATGATAGCTCAAGTGGCATTTCAAAAAGAGATTGTAGGGTGGTGTGGGGTTGGGCTTGTCAGTACTGTCCTCACCAGTGCAAAATAGATGCTGACTTTACCTCTTCCGGTTTATTCAATAATCAGATATAACCTACTGGACCTTCAGGTATCCAGTGCTTTCAGAAGTCACCCTCTTGCCATTAGATCAAAACCAGAGTAGTAGTCATTTTATACTCCTAGTATCGATGTATTTATATTAATTTTTGTAAGTGGCACTATTGATAGGCTATTTCTAATAATTGCTAAGGCAAAGGAGCCTGTCAGTTTCCTCCAATTCAAGTCCAGTAATTTTTCTTAAAGGTTGTTTCCCCCAGCCTTTCTGTACCAGTCAGTCTATGCTTATCCTGGGGTAACTAACTGCTCATAGATCTGCAACCTACTTAGTTACTTCCTTTATGTTTCAGCCTCCTACCTTCTGCCCTAACCTTAAGACTCTAGATCCTTGGAGATTCAGCATCCATTCTTCTTTGTTTCATACCCCTCTACTTGGCTGATGAATCATCTGCCCCTGCCCTTCCCTCCAAGAGTGGTGATCTAAGTCTGACTTGCCAGCCAGTTAGTTGGCTAGAGCTTAAATGACCCAGAGTTCCTGCTTCCTTGAGTCCTCCAGGCCACATTGGCATGTAAGCAGACATAAGAGATTGTTTGTAGGGGCATGTTTGTGGTGGGGGTGGAGGTGGGAGGTGTAAACTTGTGAATGATTTCCGTGAAAATGTTCAATAGGGATGTCACTTACAGATACTAAAGGGCTAACAAGTAGAAAGAAAATACAAAAACCATTTGTCTATGGAAAACAAATTTATGTCTGCTTACTCTTTATGGCTAATTTTACCACATATGCAATAATAACCGTGAGTGTTGTCAAGATGGGTCTGATGAAATTGATTGTAAAGTATGTTCACTTACAATGTGCCGTTGTGCTCAGCTGTGCTCACACTTGTGTTGATTATTGACTATGGGCTTCTGCCCATGTATTCTGCTCACATGGAAACAAAAATTAAGGGGATGTGACTCTAGTCTTTTTGAGATTAACTGCCTAGCTGCCTCCTTTCTTTTCTTTTGGCATCTGTTGGGTAGCTATATTGAATAGGTCACTGTGGGTACAAAGTACAAGAAAAGAAAGTATATGTAATAAAAGGTGTAAATTTTCCTAAAGTGGCATGAAAATTGTTCCTCAGTACTCAGCATATATAGGTTATATTTACTCTATATGCCTTTTCTCTATTCTATTTACCACCTTTGATTCCTAGGAGATTAAATCTGCACAAACGTAGATACATACTAATACTATGAACTTTAAAATGTTATTTTCCTTCCTTTATCATCAATAATTATCATTTAGAGTTGTTATGAAGGCTTTGTGACAGAGCTTATACTAAAATTGAAAGTATAAGAACTTACTGAAAATCATGTAAAAATTAGCTATGTTTTTAATGTGGTTTCTCAGATTGATTAATTTATGCAATTGAATTGTTCTACCTCTTGAAACATACATTCACACTTTGCAAACTTGCACACCTGCAAAGTAAAGTGTGGTGGTATTTTTGATATTATCATTGTTTCATCAAGAATGATAACTCAGCCAGGTTACCCTTTAAATCTCATTTTATAGGCCATTATATATCACCTTCCTGTCTCAATATAGTGGAAATTGATTCCATAAAGGGCTCAAAGGCCAAAAGTACTTTAAACTTAATAATTTAAAAACACATTGGCATTTATGAAGTGTTGTTACATTAATTTGGAAATAGTTTGAAATTGTTATAAAGTTTAACAGTATATGAAAGCACTTCCCCAAAAGATAGATACATCAGTTTGGATACAGTCAATTTTTTTCCTTAGGGAAGTATGTGTCTTTAAAAAATTGTTTTTCTCTGAATTGAAAATATGACAAGAATATTCCCTTATAGCTTTCAGTCTGACTTTTAACCAAGATTCTAGAACTCATGAAATAGTCTCTGTTTTTCCCTTTTTCCTTCCTTTTTCACTATCTTCTATTGCTTTGTTCCCTCTTTTTGGCATTTATAAGCACTACATGTAATAGGAACCATATCAGGTGCTAGAAATCCAGAGATGAAAGGACACAATCTCAGTTCTCAAGGGACTAAGTCTAATTGAAGAGAAAGAAGAATAAAAAAACTAATTACACAGTATTGGTGGTGTAGTGGTCAGGAAAAACTTCTTGGGAGAGGTGGTGATTGAGCTGGAAGGATGAGTGATAGCTGACAAGGAGATAAAATGAATCTTACTTGGGATATTAATAGGTTTGGGGTATGATAGCTCTCTTTATACAAAAAGTGGCAGAGTAGGGCAACTGGGGTCTCTATCCCTTCATAAAAGCATCTAATGGAGCTGGAAAATACTGTTAGAATTAAGTTTTGCAGAACTCTAGAATCTAGTCAAAGCATATAACAATTAGGGGAAAGCTTAATGAAGAAAGAAGCTGCTGCCTTGCAGTAAGGGAGTTCTCTGGTGTTTCAAATTGCCTGTCTCCCTTTCCGCACACACTAGATTGGAGGCAGCCATGAAGACAATAGCATGTACTCCTGGTACAGGATGACATGTGCCAGATGGAGCAATATGGACCTTATTCTCAAAGAATTGTGGTTGTGTGTTTCAATCTGTCTGGTAGCTCCTTGAAGGACAGATGTAAGGGCTTACTTCTGTTTTGCCCATCTGACTCAGCTTTCCAGGTGGCATTTACCAAAAGCATTTAAAGGCAAAAGTATTGGCTGTAGCAGCCTGGGACAAGAGATAGCAGTCAGGACAAGCAATAGATAGACCAAAAATCCTGGGAAGAAAGAGGGTGGGAAAAAGAGATATGTGGGAGAATGAGGGCCTTTAAAAACCCTAATGTAAATCAGGGAATTGAGAAAGCCTTGTACATGCCCAAGACTGGACATGCTCAGAAAAAGGCCTGAGAAGACCCCATACTTCTACTTGTTGCTGACTTTCAGATTCGCCACAAGCAGGAAGTAAAGGCAAAGGCAGCATTATAAATGATCTGGGTAAGCATTAAAGGAGTTTCCCAAAAGAGTCAATCCTTAAAGACTGGGAAAATTTAAAAAATTCTCTCTTCTCTTCTCTTCTCTTCTCTTCTCTTCTCTTCTCTTTTCTCTTCTCTTCTCTTTTTTCTTTTCCTGATGGAGTCTAGCTCTGTCGTCCAGGCTGGAGTGCAGTGGTTCGATCTTGACTCACTGTGCAACCTCCATCTCCCGGGTTCAAGCGATTCTCCTGCCTCAGCCTCACGACTGGCTGGGATTACAGGCACTCGCTGCCACGTCCAGCTAATTTTTGTATGTTTTTTTAGTAGAGATGGGGTTTCACCATGTTGGCCAGGATGGGCTCCATCTCCTGACCTCGTGATCCGCCCACCTCAGCCTCCCAGAGTGCTGGGACAACATGTGTGAGCCAATGCTCCCAGCCTTCTTTCTCTTTTCTTAAAAAAATATTTTTGGGGCCAGGAGCGGTGACTCAAGCCTGTAATCCCAGCACTTTGGGAGGCTGAGGCAGGTGGATCACCTGAGGTCAGGAGTTCGAGACCAGCCTGGTCAACATGGTGAAACCCCCATCTCTACTAAAAATACAGAAATCAGCTGGGCGTCGTGGTGGATGCCTGTAATCCCAGCTACTTGGGAGGCTGAGGCAGGAGAACTGCTTGAATCCAGGAAGCAAGGTTGAGGTGAGCTGAGGTCCCGAACACTGTACTCCAGCCTGGGCAACAAGAGCGAAACTCTGTCTAAAAAAAAAAAAAAAAGGAGGTTACAAGCCCAAAATACATTAATCCTGTCTTGTATATTGACCTACATTGTTATCTTTACCATGTGGTTTTTGTTTGAATTCTAGTTACTGTCTAGTGCAGCCCAGAGGACTCCCTTTAGCATTTCTCCTAGGGAAGATCCAGATCATGGATGAGCATTTAGTCAAAAGGAAAAAGAGATACCCTCTGAGATCTGGGTTGACCAGATAAAGATGGGAGTGAATTTACAAGGACTTCATGGCTCAATTACTTGCTTTTCTTGATGACAGGGACTATAAGTTCACCTGTTCAGGAGCTAAGGGAAGGGTGCAGATAGCATGACTGACTCTATGGAATGTTTGAAGTAGTAACTGAGAGTACAAGAGATGGAGCTGAGACAAGAACAGCACCCGTATATACACCTATCCAACTCCATCACCTGGCTAGGGATTCATTCTATGATACTGGATATTGTCCTTCCTAAGCTATTGGAAACGGGTTCTGTTGGGACACTACAGTCTGCAGCACACCCATTTTCCCTGTGGGGAGCGCTGTGCCAAAAGAAGCTGGTCCCAGCAGGCCTTGCGGGTCCCAGCCAGCCTTGCGGCACGACTCAGCTTTTCTCTGTGACGTGTCGCGGAGTCGCCCATAGGGTTCGGTGTGGTGAGGGGGGCCTGGTTCTCTCTTTGTGAGAACAAGGGAGTGAGGGAGGAAGGAGGCCGAGGAGGAGGCCAGGACTGAGCAAGGACTAAAGTAAGACTGAAAGGGGAGGTGAGGGGTGGACTGGTTGGTGGCAGCAGCCTGTACCGGAAGCGACGGCGGCAGCCGAGGCGACGCACTGTGAGGCAGCTGCTTGACTAGGCCGCAGCCGTCATGGCGATGAATTTTGGGGACCATGCCAGCGGGTTCCGCCACAGTGATGTGATCAGGTTCATTAACAATGAAGTCCTCACGGACGGCAGCGGCCCAGCCTTTTATGTGGCCTTCCGCTCGCGGCCGTGGAACGAGGTAGAGGACGGGCTTCGGGCCATTGTGGCTGACTCGCAGGTGCCGCGCGCTATCAAGAGGGCCTGCACCTGGAGCGCGTTGGCTTTGAGTGTGCGAGTGGCCGCGAGGCAGCGGGAGCAGATGCTGTATCACGTTCGGCGGCTGCAAAGGCATGTGGAGGAGCGCCAGGTGACCTCCTGGGCTCTAACGTCCCAGTTGCAGCAGCTGCGCCTGGAGCATAAGGTGGCGGCAACACAGCTGCACCTCGCGCAGGCTGCCCTGCAGCAGGCGCTGAATGAGCGTGATGGGCTGTACGGGAGGCTGCTCCAGGTCGAGAGGTTTCCCCAGGCCGCTCCACTGACCCATGAAATAATGTCTGGGCCTCAAGCAGAGCAGAATGGGGCTGCGGCATGTCCCCTGGCTACAGAGCAGCAGAGAGATATGGTGGCCATGGGGACACAGGCTAATGCCCAGATGCCAACCCCAACAGATGCTCTTTATGTGCCAGGACCTCTGAGTCTCTGGGCCCAAGGCATGCAACCTCCTCTGCCAGTGCCACATCCATCCCCACTCCCACCACGATTTCCAATGAAATCCCCATTTTTGCCACCTCTACCACCTGCTGTAGTCATGGGGGCAGAAGCAGCAGCAGTCCCACTTCAGATGCCTCCTACTGAGATCCACCCACCTTGCCCGTGGCCTGCAGTGGGCTTGCAGGAGGAGATGGCCCCTCAGTGGTACCAGAGAAGCTACATCCAGGAGGAAGATTCCAAAATCCTTCAGGGGTCATTCCCCTTAGAAGACAGCAGAAGCCACAGTCAGGGAGAAAGTTCAGAGAGGTCCCAAAGAATGCCCCTCCCTGGGGACAGTGGGTGCCACAACCCGCTGTCAGAGAGTCCCCAGGGGACAGCTCCACTGGGGAGCAGCGGATGCCACTCCCAGGAAGAAGGTACAGAAAGACCCCAGGGGATGGTTCCCCTGGGGAACATAGAAAGACAAAATCAGAAAGAAGGTCCAAAGAGGGCCTGGAGGATGCGCACCCTGGTGTTTCGCAGGAGCCGCAAACCAGAAGGTTCAGAGAGGCCTCAGGGGACTGTCCCCCAGGGAGACAGAAGTTACAGCCAGGAAGGATGTTCAGAGAGGGCCCAGGAAATGGCCACCATGGTGTTTATCAGGAGGCGCAAACCAGAAGGTCCAAAGAGGCCCCAGAGGACTGTCCTCCAGGGAGACAGCAGAAGCTACAGCCAGGAAGGAAGCCCAGAGAGGGCCCAGGGGATGGCCACCCCGGTGCTTAGCAGGAGCTGCAAACCAGAAGAAGGTCTAGAGAGACCCCAGGGCACTCCCCTGGGGGACAGCAGGAGCCATGGTGTCAGAGAAAGCCCAAAGAAATGGCAACGTCGGAGGCAGAAGGCCAAGAAACCAAAAGTGAATAAAGTCTCAGGATCCCAGCAACAGGAGAAGCCTGCCTCATTTCCAATTGCAGTGAATTGGAAATGCCCATGGTGTAAAGCCATTAATTTTTCATGGCGTACAGCCTGCTATAAATGCAAGAAAGCCTGTGTGCCATTTGAGAGTGGAGGACAAACTCACTGATTTCAGGAAGGTAAGTAAGAATGGACATACTTCAAAGAGAAACCAATTTCCTAAGACCCTCTTCTGATTAAAGTATAACTTATTTACTTCACAGAAAAATTGAAACCAAAATTATGGAGAAAATTAAATAAAATAATGTATTATCCCATTACCCAAATTAGCCATTTAAAAATTGTTTTGGATACACATACATACAAATGTATATGTATTTATATTCTAATTTTATTCATTTACTTGAACAGAGATGGACTACTTTTGATTTCTCCTGATTGCATTTAAATTTTGCAGGTGGTGGATTCTGGATGGCTGATGCTGATTGTTTATACCCTGGAGAAGCTGAAGTCATGAAGCCTTTTCTTTTCCTTTTTGTTTCATTCCTTTTCCTGAAAATGCCATGTATGTGGCTGGGAGCAGTTGTGTGATTTTAGAGTTAGAAGCTATGTTGAATTTTAGGAACAGTATTTTCCTTTAAAATGCTATTATTCCTTTGGAAACAAATTTTAGAAACACCACACTTCCTTGAAAATGCTATTAATCCTTTTGAAACTACTGTAATGTTCATGTTTTCTTCATTTTGCTTTGTTGGCTTTATAGGTGAGGTCCTATTTTTGTATCTCAGCTCCACCAAACTTGCTTGTTGCTGAGGAAGCTGAACCTGTCCCATTAGAAGATCTTCCTAGGCCAAAAGAAATAACACCTCACTCCTAATGGACCCACACCTCAGTGAGACTGACTGCAAACTTACTGTATGCAGCAGAGAGGAGTAAGAGGAAGTCAGAGAAGAAGAGATGATTTGACACTCATTAGGAGGAAAAGGAAGAGCAGAATTGTTTTGTTAGAATTGAATTTTTCCATTGGGACAAGGAATTAACTTGGAAGAGTTTGGGGGTTTGTAATGTTCAATTCTATAGATGATAGCATTTCATCTATGATTTTCACTTCATTTAGATGAATTTCATTTAGTTTGTTAAATAGTTATTGTCTAATATGTGTTAGGAGCTAGACTTATAGGTTGTTATTTGGTGCACAGATCATAATCCTTGTTGCTGAGTTGGTTAGAAGATAGGAGAGAGCGTAATTTGGGATACAAATTAGATCAGGGGTATCTTCTTTGCCTTGCATGTAGTGTTGCCTTAGGTAAAACCAATTTAAATAACATCTAGATCCATTTTTGCAGTTGTGTGGGCAATGTGAAAGAGACTTGCATGAGAGGTCTTGAGTAACCAAACTGCTAGTCTCAATGGTTTGCAGGTGAGACAAATAAGCAGTGGCAAACTTCAGGAAAGTGGCCTTACAGAAGTGCAGGCAGGGCTTTTATGATTTTCTGCTGATTTCCTCCTTTGAGAGGGACAGATATTTTCCTGGCTGCCCATAAGCCTGCCTGAAAGACCACTGGGGTGTCTTGAAGAAAGACAGTGCTCTGAGGAGTATTCACTGCACACTCCAGCCCTCAGCCTTGGGCTGCCCCCATTCCAAGTCCCTTTCTAGTCAATAGGTGGTTGAAGAACAAAATGGATTTCAAGGACAGACAGACAGACATAAGGGCTGTGGGCTATGGATGGTGTTTCTCTTGGGAGGACTAATTGGGTTAAAAATAAAACTGGACTGGGGCGAGCACTCTTGGGAATGCCCCTGGACCCTTCCTCTTTGGTGTGTTCTCTGCAGGCTCCCCCAAAGCAGCTGTTGCAAGGCAAGGCGGGATCCAGGGTGAAGCTCAGGGGTGGTGGGTTAGATCTGCCTCCAGTACAAGCTAAAGATATCTTCAAGTTTCCCTGTGAGATCCCACCCAGCTCACCAAAATCAACCTTTGTCGGGGGTTTTCTGATCCTAACTAGTAATAAAGAGTGTGCACTTGACTGCTGTGTCTTCTGCGTAGTGTGTATCTCATGGCAAGTTTTCTCAGAGGTGAAAGCTTAAATCTGCATCTTTCCTCCATCCTACTGAAGTTCAATCTCATTTACTACTGGACGGGTCTTCCTCTTACGAGGAATTACCCAAGAATTGGGGGGACTTCTATAGGACCTTCAATCCATCATGATTGTCCTTTCTATCCTCAGTCCAAGTCCATATGGTCCTGTGAAGGTTAGCATGTCTTCTACTTCAGAGTGGTGGGGCAGGAGGGGTGAGTTGGAGAGGGTGCTTCTACCTAGGCTTGGAGCTCTGATGCCTGGAGTCCAGCCTGCTGTGTACCAAGAAGCCATTTCCCTGAGATCCTGTCTCCCTGAGGTCCCCTGATGTCCCATGAACAGAAAACTTCCCTCCTGCATTTCTGTCTTCCAAGTCACTGTACCCTCTCCCCTATGCATAATCCTATCAAGTTGTTTAGAATTCTGGAAAACAGCCAGGCTGTAGCCTGTCTGCTCACAAGACAAATGTTCCCTGAGGTGAAGGGGAGTGGAGGCCAGCTACCTGCTTGGTATGGGCACAGGAATGGGGACAGAGAACAAAAGTGACCTTGCACTACTAGCATTCTCACTTCCCTCAGAGTCATGATTACTGGGAGGGCCTTGGTTACTTTGGAGGGGAGCACTTCACAGGAAGGGATCCATTAGGGATGTCAGACCCAAGGCTAGGTTTTCTGGATTGGAGGCTGGTTTTATGATACTTATGTGGGCTGATAGCTCCTTGGAATTTTGGGAAGATGGGACACAGATGAGACTTGGACATGTTTCAGCATAATCCATTTTCGCATACCAGCAGGCTTCACTATAGTTGTTTCTTTTATGGCTTCAAAATGGACTCTGTTGTTAATTGGCATGCTTTTAGGCCTTTATAAAACAGACTCACCCTGTGTATAGCTTTTATATATTTTAATATGATTACACAGTCTTTCAGGGTCAACCTTTTTCAAAACAATCGGAATCATTGAGGCTGTCAGATCACTACTCTCTTCCAGGCTGCATACATGCAAGAAAATGCAGCAGGTTTCTGTGGCATAAACCTGGGCTTTGGAGACAGAGAAAACTGAGTTCAACTACTTGATCTATTATTCAGTAGCTGTGTGACCCCAAAGAATTTACTGAAAGTCTCTGAGCCCCACAAGTGTTAGTTCCCTTTCTCTATCTTCAGGGTTCCACTCTGGATCCTGTGGTCATGAGTATGTGAGATTATTAATCATAGTAAGAGATACCATTAGAGTGTTTACTATGTGTTAGGTACTTTAAGGACATTGTCCCTTTTGATGACTGTGAGGTATTATAGGTACCTATATTAATAGTTTTCAAAGTGGGTACTATTGTCCCCAATTTACAAGTGTGGTAATACCCAAATTTGGGACTTAGTGAAGCCTGGCTTCAAAATGAAATTTTACTAGTTCCAATGTCTGTACACCACCTAAGGTTTTACCCTTACTGAGGGATACTGTGCATTTTAACAGGGATCATAATACCTAAACCCAAAGAAATGACTGTGATGGAGGGACTCTGAGGTATAGTGGCAGTTTGGTGGTTGTGGAGCTGCTCTTTTAGAATATCTCAAATTTTGGCTGGGCGTGGTAGCTCAAGCCTATAATCCCAGCACTTTGGGAGGCCAAGGTGGGCAGATCACCTGAGGTCAGGAGTTTGAGATCAGCCTGACCAACATGGTGAAACCCCGTCTCTGCTAAAAATACAAAAATTAGCTGGGTGTAGTGGTATGTGCCTGTAGTCCCAGCTACTCAGGAGGCTGAGAGAGGAGAATTGCTTGAACCCGGGAGCTGGAGGTTGTAGTGAGTGGAGATCACGCCACTGCACTCCAGCCTGGGTGACAGAGCAAGACTCAGTCCCATTTAAAAAAAAAAAATCCCAAATTTTGGGATATGTGATCGATAACCCAGGATGCCACTGAGTAGGGCCATTTATTATCTTAGTCACCAAGACTGCAAAATAAGGGCAATGATTTAGGCAGCAGGCATGACTTGTGTTGATTCAGCAGACTGGACTTATGAAAAGTTTATATCTGAGTTCAATATTAAGATAGGACACATCTTGACTGCTTACCTAAAGTCTGTCTGAATTATTCAGTTTTTGTTTTAAGTGAATAAGGTGCCAGCTGTAAAAGTCCAATATACTCTGTGTGTGTGTGTGTGTGTGTATATATATATATATATATATAATATTTTTCAGTGAGGAAGGAGGGGAAAATTAGATTTTGAAAACTTCAGACTCATGTTGCCAAACGGGGATGTTTTTTACATTATGGTGCTAAATCTACGACAGAATGGCAAATAAACACATAACTTCCTTATCACATGCTTTGTAAAGACTCAACACAGAATGGTAGCGGCTGCTTCTTATGTGGTACAGGCGCTGCATAACACTCTTCAGTGGTTTCTTCACTTCTAGCATGTGATAGAGTCAGTGCATCCACTGGCACTAAAACTCACATACACTTAATGATACTCAACTGCCCTAGCCTGTGACCTTAAGAGATTGCTGTTGAACAGATTTTTCTCATTCTCTATACTGTTTATTCTTTGGTGTTTAAGAAAAGCGTTCAGAAATAGTGAAATAGACATAGGAAGTGTTGCTGCACTGGGTATTAATAACCCCAGGAGACCTAGCAAAATTTTTTGAGTACAACTCCCTATTTGGTTCGCTGTTGGAGGCACTCTCTTCAATGGACTTAAGAATTGCTCTAGTAGGTCAGATCCTGGTCCATTTAGGCTAACTTCTCTGGGGCATAAAGCAATTGTGGAAAAGCACCATATCATCCTGAGTGATAATTTTAAAGGTAAGCAATGCCACTAGAAATCTCTAGCTTGTTTTATTATTTTACACATCAAGTAAACAGCATGCATTCAGGGCAGGATTGTTATAAGCTGGGCAATATGCTTTACTCTGTGGAAGTGATCTTTGTTACCCTCAGTGACCTTGTATTCTATTACAAGAAATAAGGTAAATATGCAACAAACAGTTTCAGTCTTTTCATCAATTGTTCCATCATATTTTTTTGCTTGTAAATGCCAGTTTTTAAAAGATTCTGTATGCATGTCAAATGACATCAATTAATAAAAGATTACTTGTTCGTTTAAAATTAAGAAAACCTATATAACTATAAAGTTCTCTCATACAAATTCTAATCAAATATAATTATAACCAAAAAGCAGCCACTTGCCATTTTTCATTTAGGATTTTGGTGAGGATTCAATGAATTCCATTGTTTTTATTATTGCTATTATTATTATTACAAGCAGCCTAATCCCAGGCAAATGGACCATTTTACTAGGCTCTTTGTAATATTGACAATGTTTCAAAATCAATATTACCTTCTTAAAATTCTATGAACCTTGGGAACATAAGTTAGGAACAACCTCTGTAGAAAGCTAGTAGTTTTAATATGTGTTAAATGCCAGTAAGTGCTAAAGGATTTTTGACAAGTGCAGTATATACCATTTTGGGTCCCAAAGCTTCCATGATAGCCAGATGGTTCCAAATTGTGTCCACAGTCTACAAAAAGGTTGCTAGGAAAATTGGCTTTGTTTTGTTTCAAAATAATATGTGGTATTACAGCTTCACTTGAGACATTTTCCAGCACTTTGTTGCTTGTGTCTATATATACTATTTTAGATTTTACTCTTTATTCTGCACTACATTATAAAAATAATTTCACACAAGGCCGAAACCTATGATTACTTTTGTGGTAGGCAGCAGTAAACCATACCCCAGTGTTTATAAAATGATGACAATGAGCTATCTGAGGATTTTGTCTGTATTTAAAAGTTTTAGGAGATTTAATCTCATTTATTTTTTGCTTGATATATATATTTGTTTTGGTAGTTTCAGTGAACCATATTGGTTTTAGGAAGGAAAAAGATTGGGCAAGTATTGAAAATTTCATACCTTTACCACTACAATTCCTGATATTGTCTAGACAGTTTTGAAACTTCAGAACGTTTATGACTTGCTTTATAAAAGACTCATAGTATTTAACTCCTCACTGATCAGTGATTCTAGCATTTTTTTCATGAAATATTTATTACTGAGAAGGAAAAGCAAAATAATGTCAGTGTTGCATATGTAACTACAAAATGCATTTAGAAATTCACAATTCACCACTAGCTGTTTTGTTTGCTGGGTTATAATATTTCATTTGTATTTATAAAACTGCTTAAGGAAATGTTTATAGTTCATTTCATTCCATTGCTTTGCGAAATTTTGGTATTTGTGATGTACAGATCAAAGTGGTCATCTGTGTTTGAAAACATCAGAGATTTCTTTAAAAATGTTCAGGCAAAAATATATAGACAAAATAACAGTCTCTTGGACTTTAATCTTTTCGATTAAAGCTCCAGTGGTGGAATTTTGTTCTTGAGCTTTCAAGAAAGAGAACAGATTTTTTAGATGAAAAGCTGCAGACTCATTTACAAAGACGTAATATTTTCTTGTGCCGATAGCATACCCTGAGGGCCCCCACCCAGGGTAAAGAGAGGCGGAAAGAAGATTCTGTCACGACCCAAAGGCAACTGGTTGATGAGGCCAAATAAGTACATGATGATTTATTTGTGTGTCAGGTGCCAAGGTGTGGGATGTGAAGAGTTGTATCTATAAACCAAAATGAGGCAGACCACAGGGTAGACGTTGGTAAGTGATGAATGTGAAAGAAGTCAATGTCAGAAATGATACACTTCTTGAGGCAAATTAGAAGCCACACTCTCTGCAGAGGCTTCTCTCTATAAAGGGAAAGAAGAGGGGGAAAGGAAGGCAGCTAACTAGGTGCCAGGTACTCTTTTAGGTTCTGGGTGTGCTAAGAGGAATATGACATCATCTCTGTCTTCCGGGAGTTCACAGGCTAGTAGGAGAAAATAATATTGTGTATTTGTTAGGCTCCAGGCACTCTGCATATACCATCACATTTATCTTCATGGAAAAAGATAAAA